TTACGGTCACCCAACTAGTTTTAAGCTTTTTAGTTATTTTTGGTGTCCCACTACTGTATGTACTGTTTACTCATTTATTTATAATTATATTCTTGCAAATTCTTTTAGTTGTCTACAGTAGTAGAAATAAACTGTTGTTGTTGTTAATTGACGTATGCTAACCGGTTTCTTTTGTTACTCATAAAGCCAATCAAAACAATATCAATATATCCTTTCTCATAATGAGCCTTGTGTACGTAATTGGATACCAGCTTATGTTCTTTACGCGTTGCTGATTGGCTCAATCAGTTTGTTTGCATTCTGTTTACGTGCTGGTTATTTTGGATATGAAGGCCACGATTAGTAAAAGGGTCGAAGCCGGGAACTGAGTTTACTTTCTAAGGTGTGGATAGAGAAAAGACTCAGTCTATTGCAATTCAAGCTCTCGATCACTTAAACCGCGAGGTATTTTTATTCAGCTCAAGTAATGTTTGCCTCAAAACGTTAAACTCGATTTTTAAGGTGTACAGCGTAGCCAGCGATTAAATTGCTAGCATAAAATTTGGCCTTGTTTCTTAAGGTGATCGCCATCCGAAAGAGGACAAAAAAGGCCGATTGGGAAGAAAGGATGAAAACAAAAAAGGGCGAAATCAAGGGAAAAGAAAGGCTAAACAAGGTGAGTAGAAGATCACTCATCAACTATTTATATCTTTTGAGATAACCGCTGTCCTCCTATTAAGTCCTATTATTCGGTCGTTAAAACTGAACAACAAAAAATTAGAACCGGAATATCATCTTTAAAGACTATTTGTACAACAAAACTATTTGACAATAACGGGCATCAAACTAAACTCTCCAATTGGCTTAGTTAGTGGCGCTCATGTCTATAGCGATTAAAATGAAAGAAATTGAATTAGATTTCTTTCCCTTACAGTTGGAGTGTATATAACGCTAAAGGCCAGTGCAGACGAGTAAATGATTAAAAAATATATCATCACCTCAAATAGTTTAAGGCCCCGGCCTGGAACTAAGAGGTTTAACTGTGGAAAATGATTTATTGGCTATAACTTCGGCACAGATTATGGAACTGACTCAAAATCTGACACACAAAAAAACTCATCGTCTTTAACGTTTTAAAGTATAAATATTGTGTTCATAAGTCACGTGATATGTCACGTGACCATTCTGCTAGAAATCGTAAATAATTGAAAAATTGGTGGCGGGTTTCAAAAAAGAAAGCAAGCAATAACATATCAACATTAACACTATCTATCGCTCTTCAAAAAAAAAATATAAGGGTAAACATTCTAATGCCCAATTTTGATCTTGAATGATTTCAAACTTTAAGCAGTTTAAACTTCGCGTACATTCATTCCAACGTAGAAAGCTAGGTAAGTTTATCCCCTATCAGAAAATAATGCCAATTTACCTATCTAAACAAAATAAATTCGCTACCCATTATTTCATTTTCAATTTTTGATAATCAAATGTCCAATCACAGGTGTTCCACAGGAAGACCTCAAGATCTATTTTTGTGGAAAAATTCACTTTGTTCTAGGTCTCTTACCAAGGGATACTGCCCATCAATCATATGGTCCAAATACACCTTTCATCAGGCCTCAAAACCCTTGAGACAAGAAAAAATTGCAAGCTTAAGCATCCCAATTGGCTGTAGGTACCACTAGTTTGCTATTAACAAGCGTGGTTGAGAAAAGCAAATCCAGATTACGTCCACGTCTTCAAGTTTTGACATGTACTAAATTTATGAGAGATTAAACCAAACAAAATTATATTAAGAGTCTTGTCAAAGAAACCATTCGAGGTAGCAACAAAATGGTTCGTCTTTATTAGATGCGCCCAACGTTGTCCTAATATGTTCAGTGTACTTCTAGAAAGAGACATCCTCAGAGACCCAGGGGAAGTCAGCTGGGTCGGGATAAATGGCGGCGAAAATTTCAACAACAGGCGAGGAAGCCCCTGGGGATGCTACTCTTAGCGAACTAGAGAGAATGAACTACTCATTCTCTCTTGTAGCGAACCAGTTGCACGACTCATTAGAATGCTTGTCTCTGATTGAGTACAAAAGAAACGTTTTTGCCCAATCGGAGGCCAGCATCTATCTGGCATGGGGAAAAGGTCCATGCTTTTAATAGCTTCAAGATAAAAGCTGTTACTGTGTAGGTTCAATTATGGTGTGTCCTACTTTACTCTACTTGCCCTTACATTAATAAGAGCTTCATCTAGAATTGTTTACTTCCATTTGAACAGCTCCTGCAGAACAACCAGACGGAACTTTGCACGGATCATCATCTCAAAGCCAACGCGGAGGAGAAGGAGCTTGTAATAAACCAGTTACAAAACAAGCAAAAGGTTAGAAAAAATTAACATAGCATCACTATGTTAACGAAAGAGGAGACAAAATTCCCATTTAAAGCACTAAACGAATCCATAAACTGGGAACTAATGACAGATTTAAGCAAAACAATACTCGTTATTTTTGCCCACACCTTTAACTATTGATAACCGTCTTGCTTTTGTTCTGTTTCGATATTGCAAAATTTCCCTTTGAGGTACTGATTACCTCGAAGGCGCTGACTTTATTGTGATACAATTGAATGTTATTCCCCCTCTATTTAGATGACGACTTCAACAAACAGGATAAGCAAGGCATTCGTGGACGTGGACGTGGACGTGGACGAGGAGCATCACTGGAGCGCGGGAAAGATGAAGCAGCGCCATCGAGAGGCAGAGGAAAGCCCCCCGGTAAGAAAATACGATAAACTAATTCTGTTTACTCGCCAAATTTCTTCCAGACTGCTTGAATCATATATAGGGAGAAAATATTCTGAGCCAGGACAGTGAAGCTAAAAACTACGCCCATGACTTATCTTATTAGCCAATTGCCCGTAAATAATAGCCTGCGTTATAGCTAGAGAAATTTGCCTCGCGTAAGTGACTCATTCCACTCATGCGTGTGCTTTCACTTACGCTGTAAATTCAAAAAAAGAATGGAGACCAGTAAAAATGGAATCCCTGGCAACTTCTCCGCTCGCTGCGTGTGGCACCACAACAGCGCAAGCAATCAATGAAAAACTATCGAAGCGTACGAATCATCGGCAAGGAACTCGCGACGGACAGTGGTATCACTTATCAAGTCGAAATCGATGTTTCCCGATTGAACACGGGCAGGTGGCCAGATTCTAAACGACTAATGTATGGGTCCTTTCTGTACATTTCGAAAGACAACTTTAAAACGATGCTTTTCGCCACTGTTTTCAAACGAGACCCAGAGGAACTGAAGAAGGGGCGTATTGACATTCACTTTATCGAAGAGCAAGATGTTTTTGGGATCGAGAGCCGGAATCACGTTTACCAGATGGTTGAGTCACCAGCCTATTTTGAAGCTTATCGTTACGTTCTTAAAGGATTAAAGGAGTTAAATGAAACAACTTTGCCATTTACAAAGTATCTAGTTGAATGCAGTGCAGAAGTTGACCCACCGGAACATCTAAGACGGAATGAGAAAGAGGCGCTAGTATGTTTTGACCTAAGGGACGCCCTTGACGTTCCAGGCAACAAAAATGCCAAAGAGGTACCTGTTCTTACGCCTGAGCTTGGCCCTCAGTTGCAACACTTCCACTCAACAGCTCCCAACTAGAAGCGTTGAGAACAGCAATTACCACTGAGTTTTCTGTTATCCAGGGTCCACCAGGAACAGGGAAGACCTACGTAGGAGCCAGCATCTATCGGGCATGGGGAAGAGGTCCATGCTTTTAATAGATTCAAGATAAAAGCCGTTACTGTGTAGGGTCAATTATGGTGTGTCCGACTTAACTATATTTGCCCTTATATTAATAAGAGCTTCATCTAGAATTGTTTACTTCCATTTGAACAGCTCCTGCAGAAAAACCAGACGGAACTTTGCACGGATCATCATCTCAAAGCCAACGCGGAGGAGAAGGAGCTTGTAATAAACCAGTTACAAAACAAGCAAAAGGTTAGGAAAAATCAACATAACATCACTATGTTAACGAAAGAGCAGACAAGATTCCCACTTAAGGCACTAAACGAATCCATAAACTGGGAACTAATGACAGATTTAAGCAAAACATACTCGTTTTTTTTTGCTCACACCTTTAACTAGTAATAACCGTCTTGCTTTTGTTCTGTTTCGATATTGCAAAATTTCCCTTTGAGGTACTGATTACCTCGAAGGCGCTGACTTTATTGTGATATTGAATGTTATTCCCCCTCTATTTAGATGACGACTTCAACAAACAGGATAAGCAAGGCATTCGTGGACGTGGACGTGGACGTGGACGTGGACGAGGAGTATCACTGGAGCGCGGGAAAGATGAAGCAGCGCCATCGAGAGGCAGAGGAAAGCCCCCCGGTAAGAAAATACGATAAACTAATTCTGTTTACTCGCCAAATTTCTTCCAGACTGCTTGAATATATATATATATATATATATATATAGGGTACTCACGGGGAGAAAATACTCTGAGCCAGGACAGTGAAGCTAAAAAGTACGCCCGTGACGTATCTCATTAGCCAACTGGCCTTAAATAATAGCCTGCGTTATAGCTAGAGAAATGTCTCGCGTAAGTGACTTATTCCACTCATGCGTCTATTTCATTTACGCTGTAAATCCAAAAAAAGAATGGAGACGAGTAAAAATGGAATTCCTGGCAACTTCTCCGCTTGCTCCGTGTGGCGGCTCCTTCGCCAAAAAGCACTCCTGTACTCTGACCTAGCCAGCAACGCAGGCTATGAAGTAATGCGGGACACAGATTCGTGTTTGACCATCTTTCGCGTAACTTTCAATTCGTAAGATTGTTCTGGTTAAGAAAACTCTTAACAATATGAAAGGCTACCACCTTAAGTGTATTGCATTTTAAAGAATACGTGTAAGCATAGAACGGAGTAGATTCCTCTAGAAGAAAGATTTTGTGCATTTATACTCTTCTCCCAATTCAGATAAAACAAACCAAGATCAACTGCCTGGAAAGCTCGGACCAATGAATAAGAACTCTGGTTTTTCAACACAGCCCAATATACGGCCCCCTGTTCGAGGAGTGCTACCAGTAAAAATGGTCTCATTGGACCCTAAGACTTTAAAAGAGAAGGATAGCAGAGAGGTCCTGAACACTCTGAACGAAGGAATGGGTAGGCTGAAGTACCTCCTACAATCGGCCGAGAAGCAGCACAACAGCGATGAATTTATCTATGATTTAACTTGTACTTTAGCGAGGGCCTGCGAAGCGCCATCAGGGGAGAACACGAACAAGATTCTAGCTGCGCTTAAAGGCTGTGATTTCTTAACTTCAAAGATTCCTAGTTTTCTTGATCGTGTCGACGCATCAGAGATCTGGGATGACCAAGTTTCTCTGCAAAGACTCATCGAATGTCTTATTGTTATTTTCGTGAAGTACCTGACAATCTTGCCTCGTTCATATGCCGACCCGCCCTATGATAAGCTGAAATTAGCCTTGAGTAAGTCAAGCATTAAGACAAAGAATGATTTACAGAAAAAGTTAGAAGCATTTAAAGAATTCAGAGATGGCATCATCAAGAGTGAAAGAGAAAAGCAAGGAAAACGTTACAGGGTTGGAGATAAACCACCAAACGATTTCAGAGATTTGCCAATATATCCCATGAGTGAGGAAATCACGACTCGAGAACGACCTTTCTTACGGACGAATATTTCAAAGGGAAGGTACGACAATGTCCAACACTACCTAGATGTGCAGTTTCGGCTTCTGAGAGAGGACTTTCTCGAGCCGCTAAGGGAAGGTATTGGTGAAGTCATTCTAAATGTGCCACCAGAACAGCGCAAGCAATCAATGAAAAACTACCGCAGCGTACGAATCATCGGCAAGGAACTCGCGACGGACAGCGGTATCACTTACCAAGTCGAAATCGATGTTTCCGGATTGAATACGAGCAGGTGGCCAGCTTCTTAACGACTAATGTATGGGTCCTTTCTGTGCATTTCGAAAGACAACTTTAAAACGATGCTTTTCGCCACTGTTTCCAAACGAGACCCAGATGAACTGAAGAAGGGGCGTATTGACATTCACTTTATCGAAGAGCAAGATGTTTTTGGGATCGAGAGCCGGAATCACGTTTACCAGATGGTTGAGTCACCAGCCTATTTTGAAGCTTATCGTTACGTTCTTAAAGGATTAAAGGAGTTAAATGAAACAACTTTGCCATTTACAAAGTATCTGGTTGAATGCAGTGCAGAAGTTGACCCACCGGAATATCTAAGACGGAATGAGAAAGAGGCGCCAATATGTTTTGACCTAAGGGACGCCCTTGACGTTCCAGGAAACAAAAATGCCAAAGAGGTACCTGTTCTTACGCCTGGAGCTTGGCCTTCGGTTGCAACACTTCCACTCAACAGCTCCCAACTAGAAGCGTTGAGAACAGCAATTACCACTGAGTTTTCTGTTATCCAGGGCCCACCAGGAACAGGGAAGACCTACGTAGGAGCCAAAATTGTAAGATGCTTGCTAGAAAATCGACGCACCTGGGATCCTGAACGCTTATCACCCATGTTGATGGTTTGTTTTACGAATCATGCGCTGGATCAATTCCTGGAAAAGGTGTTAGCGTTTCTTCCACAGAAAGAGATAATTCGTGTTGGACAAAGAAGCAAGAGCCAAATTCTAGAAGCTTGCAATCTGAAACATTTCACTCAGGAATGCAGGGGCAGGGGTGATTTAAGAGTGGTCAAAAAAATGATAAGGCAAAAGGAGAGAGAGCGAAAAGACTGGGAGGAACATTTCGCAAAAGCAGGTGATGAACTACTAGAATTAGATGAGTTGGAGGATGTGTTAAATCCAAATCACGTAGACCAACTATACAATGCCATTTTCCCTTCCAATGCAAAATACAAGTACAGATCAGCAGGCGATACGTTCATATTATGGCTTTGTGACGACAAGCTGCTCCGGTCATGCAACCAAAGTACAACAGAGGAATCGCCTGCGGCAGTTTCACATGTATCTTTTTTTCAAGACATTGGTGAAAGTGAAGACGTTGTTAAATCGTCGTTTTGCTTCGCCTCGCCAGATGACGAAAGCGACTGTCGGGAAGCAAAAGGAAAAGACGCTGATTTCTTACAAAGACACCTACCAGATGAAGAAGATCTCTCCAACGTTGTAATTGGAGACGCGTACGACCTGGAGAGTCAAGAACAGGATACGATGAGCGCCCATGACGAAGACAATGACGGTTGGACCACTGTAACAAACAAAAGGAAACAAAAAAGAAAAAATAAATTTGAATCGTTGCAAACAGAAAATGAAGCTTCCAGAGAGAGGTCGACAAACATGGGAGCTACCGAGAAGAAGAAACAAAACGCCACCAAAATCCTCAGCACGGAAGATATTTCTAAACTAAAAGATCAGCTCAAACAAGAAAAAATGATGTCTCCTGAGGAAGCGATGAATGTTGAAAACATCTGGAACTTGTCAAAATCGCAACGATTTCAACTCTACCTCTTTTGGATCGAGTGCTATCGTGATCGCTACAGAGTAGAGATTCAAAGATGTGAACAGGATTATGAAAAGCTTTGTGAGGAGCTAAAGGAGGTCAAATTTAGAGCAAAAGAAGAGGTTTTACGCCGGGCTGCCGTTATTGGAATGACGACCACTGGAGCAGCTAAACATCACTCAGCCCTACAAAGGATAGCTCCAAGAATTGTGGTTATTGAAGAAGCCGCTGAGGTAATGGAATCGCACATTATTACCTCTCTTTCGCACAACACAAAGCACACAATTCTCATCGGAGACCACAAACAACTCCGCCCTAAGGCATCTGTGTATGAGTTAGCCCACAAGTACAACCTGGAGGTCTCACTCTTTGAGAGGATGGTGATGAATAATGTGGATTGTAAGTGCTTATCTACACAACATCGAATGCGCCCTGAGATCGCCGCTCTGACTAAAAGAATCTACGATCACGAAATCATAGATCACAGGTCAGTATGTCAGTTTGAGGACATATCTGGCGTTTGCAGTAATCTCTTTTTCATTGATCATGGTGAACACGAAAAACATGAACCTGGTCTGCAAAGTTATTCTAACCTTCACGAAGCTTCATTCTTGATAGCCTTTTGTAAGCATCTTCTGATTCAAGGATACAACAGAAGCCAGATCACAATTTTAACTATGTACATTGGTCAGTTAGTACTCCTCAAAGAGATCATGTCAAGAAATGAATTTAGTGTAAACATTTGCGTAGTTGACAACTTTCAAGGTGAAGAAAACGACATCATTCTTCTTTCATTGGTAAGAAGCAATTCCCAACGTTCCATCGGATTTCTGGGTGAGTCTAACAGGATCTGCGTCGCCCTTTCGCGAGCCCGTAAAGGTCTCTATTGTATTGGAAACTTCAGTCTGTTGAAAAGTAAGTGCGAGCTTTGGAAAGAAATATGTGATGATTTAGAAACCAAGGGAGCCATTGGTTATAGTCTACAACTTATTTGCAAGAAACACAACAATGTAATGTGTGTACAAAATGCAGGCCAGTTTGATTCATCTGGAGGATGTAATATGCCATGTGGAGATCGTCTGGATTGTGGCCATGCTTGTACCATTCCTTGCCATACAAGTGGACATCCGAAAAATTGTCTCAATAGGTGCGTCAATAAATGCTCTAACGAGCATCAGTGTAAACAGAGCTGTCACTATCCACGCAAATGCCCACCGTGCTATCAGCAAATGCCAAAGACAGTCCCTAAATGTGATCATGAACAGCTCGTACCATGTAGTATTGATCCTAAAAAGTTTTCTTGTCGGGCGAAATGTGAGAAGCAGCTATCATGTGGACACCCCTGTGACAAACCATGTGGACAGTTATGCACAAAAAAGTGTCAAGTAACATGTGAAAAATCATTACCATGTGGACACGAAAAAAGCATGCTCTGTTACCAAGATCCAGTCAATTATAGAAAGTGTACGAAAAGCTGCACCAAACTTCTAGCATGCGGTCATCCTTGTTCAAGGAAGTGTGAACAATCATGCCAATGTAATGCTACGATTGCTGTCCAGATGCCATGCAACCACTCGAAACGTGTCCTGTGCCGCGAGAAAAACTTCCCACGTAGGTGCGACGAAAAGTGCGAACGGCCACTAAACTGTGGCCATGACTGTCCTGGAATCTGTCACGAAGACTGTAAAACGAAGCAATGTCAAATTATTGTCGTAAAGGATCTTTCATGTAACCACCAGCAGGCTATTCGTTGCTTTCAAGACCCCAAAGAAGCAGTTTGTTTCGCGCCCTGTAAACGGAAACTTGATTGCGGCCACAATTGTTCGTCTACATGTGGCCTTCCATGTAGGTGCGACGAAAAGTGCGGACGGGTACTAAACTGTGGCCACGGCTGTCCTGGAATCTGCCACGAAGACTGTAGAACGAAACGATGTGAAATTAATGTCGTAAAGGATCTTCCATGTGACCATCAGCAGGCTGTTCCTTGCTTTCAAGACCCCAAAGAAGCAGTTTGTCTCGCGCCCTGTAAACGGAAACTTGATTGCGGCCACAATTGTTCGTCCTTATGTGGCCTTCCATGTCATGAAGTTGAATGTAAAGAACTTTGTAAAAAGCCATGCCCGAGAGGTCACCCCTGCCAAAACCGCTGCCATTCTGGTTCACCTTGTAGTCACTGTACGGTGAAAGTAGATCTTACTCTTCCTAAGTGTGGCCACAACGTCAACAGCCTATGCTGCAACGATCCATCTTTACTGATGTGCGTAGAAACATGCGAAAGAGTAAGAAAAGACTGCGGCCATCCTTGCAAAGAAATCTGTAATAAGAACTGTGAAGCTAGACCATGCAAGGAACCTGTAGCCAGAATACTATCATGTAACCACGCCGTTAACTTACCCTGTCACAAGAATCCCGAAAATTTTGTTTGCAAGGAAAAAGTGGAGGTGCATCTTGCATGTGGACATAAAGCATTTGCTGAGTGCCATGTCAAAAAGGCTGGAATAGAACATGTCGTGTGTAAAGAAAGAATGGAGAAGAGGTTGCACTGTGGCCATACGATCAGTCTTCCGTGCTTCAAAACGCCTGAGGGTTGCATTTGCAGAAGGAAAGTCGAACTGGAACTACCATGTGGACATAAGACGTCTGCTCGATGCTCCACTATATCCGGAGGCTTACCAAATGACGTTTGCACAGTTACAGTGTCAAGAAAATTAGCATGTGGACACGAATCAACCCTTCCGTGCCATATAAACCCACTGGAGTACAACTGTCAGGAAGAGATGGACATATTACTTGATTGTGGACACCACAAACGTATTATTTGCTGTAGCGTCCAAGGTGAGATGCAAAGTGAAATGTGTACCACCAATGTGTGGAAAAAGTTACCCTGTGGCCATGACAAGCTCATGAAATGTTCAAGCAAGACAGATGAGGTATTTTGTGATTCCCCTTGTAAACGTTTTCTTTCATGTGGTCATCGATGCTCTCATAAATGTGGAGAACAGTGTGAGAGCTTTAACTGCGTTGTTAAAGTTGAAAAAAATTTGAGTTGTGGGTACCACAGGATCTTTTGCTTTTGCTCTGAAGATGTCTCTCAGCTTATTTGTTTAAATGCATGCAAACGAAATTTGAATTGCGGTCACCCATGTCCAGGAAAATGCCTCGAAAAATGTAGTCAGCACCAGTGTCGTAAAAAGGTGGTGAAAATACTCAGTTGCGCAGGAAAGCACTCTCTTCGGATGTACTGCAAAGATGACCCCAAGAATGTATCATGCAAAGAGCACTGTACACAGTTGCTAGCCTGTGGTCACCCATGCCCGGGTGAATGCAGCCAGCCATGTGAACGTTACAGATGCAAGCATCCAGTAGACAAAGCATTTGATTGTGGTCACAATGTTCAATCACTTCAATGTTTTCAATTGAAGACTGCTACCTGCAGTGCACCTTGTCCTCGTCAAAAGAAATGTAAACATCGCTGCAAGGGTGTCTGTGGGGATCCCTGTGAAAAATACCCATGCCAAGTAGAAGTGCGTAAGACCCTCAAGTGCGGGCACGACGTAATCATGCGTTGTAGCGATTCTGTTGATAAAGTGCGATGCCCCAGTGACTGTAGACAAAAGCTACCATGTGGTCACCACTGTTCTGGTACATGCGACGAATGCAGCCAAAGGGGTTCGCACGAAATATGCCAACACCCTTGTGGCCGACTTCTTGTTTGCTGCCATCGCTGTCAAGCGAAATGCAGCGAGCCTTGCCCGCCCTGTAACAAAAAATGCGGTCGACGGTGCCCTTATAAAAAATGTACCCAATCTTGTTCGCAGTCATGTACACCTTTAGCTTGCAAACAACCCTGCAAATGGAGTTGTCCTCATTACACATGCAACAATCTTTGTGGCGAGAAATGTGATCGTCCTCGATGTGATGCTCCATGCCCTAAGAGGCTTTCTTGCCGCCACCCGTGTATTGGTTTGTGTGGGGAAAACTGTCCCACTGTGTGCGCCACTTGTCATGCCAAAAAGCTTCCAGCAAAGGCTCCTACAACAACAGGAAACGCTAGGTATCTACAACTTTTTGACTGTAATCATATCGTGCAAGTTGAAGTGATGGACCATTGGATGCTACAGGACCTTGGAAGTGAAGTTCGACTAATTCACTGCCCCAGGTGCTCTGTCGCAATTACATTCAGTTATCGTTACGGAAATCAAATCAAAGAGACACTGAAAAAATTTGACAATGGAAAAGCTCAAATTTATAAGCTATCACAAGAAGCTTCCGAATTTTGTGAAGGCGACGAAGACAGTCTGAATGAATTTCGACAAAAACTTCAGATGATGGAGCAGCCAAGAAAAGTGTCTTTATTCTTCACACTTAAAAATCACCTTCTCGTCATAGACGAGGTTAAAAGAGCGCAATTTTGTTTGAGAAACATGAAACGTCATCAAGCAAGTTCAAAAGAGCAGCTGGCGATAAAGGATTTCTTGGAAAAGATGACAGCTTCCCTCCAGAAACCCCAGTTTGACTTAAGTATTTTAAACACAGTTTACGAACGGGCAAGAAAGTTCTTCCTTTATGCATCCATTTTGGAGGCTCAAAGTCAAGCCATCAATTTCAAAACGTCGTTCTCCGACATTGCAGTATCGCGTTTGAAGCTGGCTCAGCAAAAGTTTCATTCATTTATCCAGGGTAATGACGACGCTCTGGAAGTTGACTGGCTTGGGAGAATAGTAGCATCGGTGAGAAAGGAAGTAGGCCTCCTACCCCCAGCCACCGAGGAACCCAAAGAATTTGAGAACTTCCCAGGCTTCAATATAGGAGCATGGAAATTGTGTGAACACCGTGAAGTTTTTGTTGCCAGGTCGCTTATGCGCAATGGAGATGTTGTTACTAAGATAGGCACCGGATGCAGAGGCTGTGTTCCCATGGAGAAAAGAGACACAGAAGAGGAAGAAGAGGAAGAAGAAGAAGAAGAGGAGAAGGAGGAGGAAGAAGACGAAACAGAAGACGACGACGAGACAGAAGAGGAAGGAGAAGAAGAACAAGCGAGATGGACTGCATAGTCATTAGGTCTTTGCGTAGAGGAAGAATAAGAAAACAACCCTAGCGCAATAGGCTGGGCAGCCAGAAGGTTTTTGAATAAAAAGAAGATAGACGAAAAAGAAAAATATCGTTAGGCCGCCTTCTGTGTAAATCGTGTGGCCGGTTATAGTTAGGAGTGGAAAAGCCTAATCATAGATATTATTATATATTGTTGTGAATTTTTACATGCCAGCTCACAGCTACAGGTGCCATCATACCATTTAGTAGTATAGTAGTATTTGTACAGGAGATCTATACTCGACTTTCTAAAACAACATTTTGTTGAAAAGCTTATATATAGCTATGAATAGCTAAAATTAGAACTGACCTAAACTTTGAATGTTTAGTTTTTAACGCCTCATGTAGTTCTAAAAGCAGTCCATTTCGTAACCGGTTGCATAAGTTGAGACGACTGAAGCGGTTCTAAATCACAAAGGAAGGTGTCATGTTGAGATGCGAAACGTAGAACAGCATTAACAGTAGTATTTTAGCGCTAGAGATTTTATAATATCATGTGTTTTGTACTTAGGATATCGTAATTTTATGGTAGATAGGACTATGACAGTCACTGTAGTTTAACAGTCGGGTACAATTATAGTTTAACCACATTTAACACTAGGCATCACAGTAGCAACATTCGCTTTTACTGCACTAGAAAAACATTTTTCCTCCAACCTTTCCCCTTAAGGGGTTTGCTTTGTTTTATTTATGAACCGTGTGACCACTCAAATTATTTTAATTAGGTCGTTTTGGTTTTTGCAGTTGTTGTTCTTTCTCTTTTTGGTTCTTTCATTATTTCTTGGAGCACTTTATTAATGTATACCAGATATTACCTTTTTTTATTACCATGTGTTATATTTTGCTAATTAATTATTAAATGCTGTCGTGTATCCCAAACAATGCCTGGCTTACTGAGTTTTATTTTTGTTGATTTAGTAGTGAAGAAGAAACAGTGCACTAAATGTGTTCACTAACTGCAGGATGTCCTCAAGCAAAGCCACGACACGGGTGTCATAGTAAACTCAAACAATTCCGGTCGTACACCGGGGGGGTTAGTTGACAGATTTTATGCCACTAAACCGGGTGGGCTATGCGTTTTGGGTCCCTTATTTTGCAATTCCGTTCGTACACCGGGGGGTTAGTTGACAGATTTTATGCCAATAAACAGGGTGGGCTATGCGTTTTGGGTCCCTTATTTTGCAATATGTGGCCAATAATCAAACAGGGTAAGTCGTGTGTGTCCTTTGCGTTCATGTTCGCGATCTTTTCCTATACGATCTTGTCATTTTTTTCGGTTACCACGCAGGTTAAAATGCTGCGGCCTACTCCCTTCTACAACCCATTCAACTTGTTGACCGTTCCTTTTGTGTAGTGGATGCTACGTTGCTTAAGTATACATGTTACAGGTCAAAATTAAATTCAAATTTAAAATTTTTAACCTAGGTTGATTCTCAATTTCCTTTGTCTCCTACACTTTTTTGTTCATAAATTACGACTAGGAGACGAAGGAAATTGAGAATCAACCTGCTTTTGTTACTTGTTGTTGTAAGTTATTGCACTCCAGGTAAAGCGCTACTCGTATATCTCTCTCACCGAAAGAAACACCGGTTTGTATGCAAGAAAAGGGTCTTGATGAGAAAAACGCGACAAACTTCACGAGCACACAAAGAAATGAAGTCCGTCTCGGATAGGACACTGGGCGGCCGTTTTCATAGAAGAGATGGATTATCCGTTGGATAATTCGCGTCCGACGAAAGACACGTCTTAATTTGAAAATGGAACGATTTTAATTTTGAATGAACAATCAATTTGTTTATCTGTCAAGTTTGACGGATTTTGAATGTGGATTATCCGTCCCAGACGGATAACGGATAATCCGTCTCTAGTGTAAAATCGGCCACTGTGGACGACTTAGGCCTCATCTAGACTGCATTTTGACAGCGCTGATTTCTGACAAGTCTTTAATTTGTAGATTATCACAGGATACTGAGAACCACTTGTATGTCAAATGTTCTTAATACAGAGACTGAGTAATTTATAAGAACAGCATACTCAAAATCCATTTGGGAGTTTTTTGGTGACAGTATTATCAGTACTGATCTAGCCTATCCCGGGGTACTGTTTTGCAGTCTAATCTGGGACCCATATAGCTCCATATTAGTATTTTATTTATTTGTTTGTTTTTTAGTCACTCACATTACATAAAAATAAAACGTCACAAGAGGTGTTAATTAAAATATAAGTTGTTGTGACAAGGAAGCCCAAAGAAGCTGGGAGCTCATATTAATAGGCTAATTCTTAAGCATATGCTATAATGATCAACATTACACAAGAAAAAAATAGAACGGAAAGCAGATCACTGGCCTTTGAGACACTAAGATCGTCATGACATGACAGTGGTAATAATATACTTTGTGTGTTAAACTGGAGACCCCTGAAAAAAGGGAATGCAGCACGGTTATCAATGCTGTAAAAAATAAGAGATGACTTGGCCTATTGTGATGAAATCAAGCTTGACACGGTGGGTAAACAGGACGCCAAAAGTGGTCCCTTAGGAACTACTTTTACTGTTTTTATCCGTTTGAGCTCTGAGTTTGCAGGGTGGTAGAACTTTGTATTCCAAACAATCGTATGTTTTTTGTTTTTCGATTTTAACGGTTATAGGTAGTACAAATTTTGAAAGATCTCGTCACGCTCTTTCAAAATTATTTATTGTTTCGCCATTGGTTGAAATTTAAATTTTGCTGTCAATCTTGTGAACCGATGGAACATATAAAAGCGTCAAGCTCGGAATCAAGACTATTAATTTTCAAAACAACGAGTGCCTGAATGAAATCGTCTCTCTTAGAAAATTGTTACGTTTGAATCTCGGAAATAATTCAAATGGCAGTTTTAAGGTGGCTTATAATGCTCATGATCAGCAATGAGAGCGTGACCCACTGGAACTGGTAAAACTGACATTAATACGGCAAACGGCAAACGTGAATTTGTACCACGTGAACAAGATTTTTCCTTAACTTGTGCTTTAGTGTTCATTACCTCTACCCCCAAATTAGTATCTTCACGTTAGTTTTGACTATAACAATTGTTTTAGACTGTTTTTAGCTGCTCATTTTCTGTTTTAGGAAATTCTCAATTTCAACCTGACCTTTGCCGTTATACTGTAAACGTCACTCAAAATCTCTCTATAATGTCAGCCGAGAACGTGACGTGTTTAAAGCAGACACGTGCGAAATTCGACGTTGGCATTACTTTTATAAGTGAGGATGAACATGAACATGCGAACATAGAGGAACCCAAATCAACATTTCTTGATTTCTTGCTTCCATTCAAGCCTCAACAGATATGAACGAACGGACGACGTTCTTGCGGACAAAGTCCGTTTAGAATTAAACAATTGGGACAAGTTAGCTTGAAAAGGTTGAAACTCGGTACACATCACCATAACATGGCGATTGTCAGCAAACTGACTTTATCAAGTCAAGAACGTTTCTTATACAGTTTTAATTATATAATAATTATCATGAACAGGTCTCGCGCTCGGATGGCACATAATATCGTGTAAACTATTTTCGTTCGACGCTTTTTAGACCCGCACTCAGCCTTGCATGTGAACAACAAAGGACGTTATAAATACTATTGCTTTTGCAATGGCCTAATTTCATACCCCGTGGGAGCCTGGCACTACCGGATTTTCCCGGACTTTTTAAATTCCGGATTCAAAATGGCTTTCAAAATAGAATTAAACGATATTAAGGGCCAGATTACTCCAAAAAGTTAATATACTACAGCAAAGAACAGTTGCTTTACTGCTATTAAGAACTTCGATTAAAATCTTCGAGAAAAGAAAGATCAAATCGGGGACTTTCACTACTTGGAAGTAATGGAACGATTCCCGAAATGTTCGACAAAAAATTTGAACAAAGAACCGTCGAATTTAGCTTTTTTTGACTGCGCTGGATCCGACCGAATATTGGGGAATGATAAGGGAGTGGGTGTACCTATTTTTTAAAACCGTAAAATAAAGATTTCCAATAAGCGAAACACGCCAGAGAGTGTATTAGGTTGGCAAGGCTTACATTAGGTTTTCTCCCCGTCGCTGCCTATACGGTCTCAGTAGAAATCCTAAAGAGAACATAGATAAAAGCAAGTATACTTCTGAATCAGTCGTACTTGAGAGGCATTTCTCGTCCGGTAACACTGCAGTTCCTGTGACCAGACTTCATGCCTTAAGCAGTAATGTTATAATACACAAGTAATTTTTCTTAGGGGGATAAATTGTGCATATATAGTTTCCTTGTGAGGCCCCTGCGTGTGATTCTCCACCTTCCAGTTACATTGCAATTCTAGTAATTTCGACACTACTCACGACGTGAAATAAATTCAATGATAAAATGTCAGATAGCAATGGTTTTCAAGGGCTCACTTGTTGAGCTACCTCTTTTTGGAACCTATTGGGTCTAAGAGTATGTTTACAATTTGGGCAATCACCTTGTACAGTATGTTGCCCAGTATCCGGACACTTGAAACAAAAACTCAATTTTTGACGCGCCCTTTTCAGTTCTCGGTAAACGAAGTATTTCCAATGAAAGCTGAACATTTCAGCTTTAAGATGAAAGTCTTGGCAGTTGAAAGCTTGCGAAACAGGCGCAGAAGACGCCGTTCTGTCCAGGTGAGTAAACTTTTCATGGCTAATATTTACGCTGTTTACTGCGCAGTAAAATTAGTGCTGCTCAGAAAAGGGAGGCTAATTTGTGATATTTTCAAAGAGACCTTTTTTATTTTTAAAGTGAAGATACTTAAGGAAGTCAGATTTCCAGAAAGTTTATTAATTCTTCTTCAAATTCGATTTGTTTGGAATAACGGAGGCCAGAAACATTCACTAAGTTTTGATGTCAGGTGCCCAGTATCCGGACAGTTTTTCATTTGCCGTACAGAATCGATGAATTAGCCGTGTACATTATCCGGATAAGATTTATGT